TTTTCAACTGTACCGACTGATTCTACTTCAGTGAAACGTAAGTTCAGATTTATACTTCTCATAACACGTGACTCATCTTTCTATCATAACCGTGCTTACTCCGCCATGTTTAATTTGAGACTTTAACTCCTTCGTTATCCAGGGTTTCCGGGTCTGCAAATGTAACTGAACGTTTCACAAACTCTGGGGGCAGAGGAGGGTAAATGACTACGAAGGGAAGAGAGCGCTAAATGTGATCCCTAGAGTAACGCAGAAAACTCCCAGTAACGAGCAAATGATGAGGTTAGGTCATGTGATGAGAATTAGTACTGGACCCTGCATGCATTTATATATATAACATACATATCATGCAGATATAATACATTTGGGATTTATGTATACGCTTGCAGTTTGTGACGAATTGCCAAAACACTGTCTGTCCAGCTGCAATCACAACTGTGCTCGCCACTAATTTATAGGCTTTTCTGCATATCCTAACTGTGGATTATGATGAAACTCATAAATGACACTGAGCATGAAATGGGCTCTGGGGGGAGGGGGAAGGAAGGAAGACTGTTATTACACGAATAGATTCAAAAGCTTCTGTTTTGTGGTCACTAGAATTTTAGGCTTAAAATGTGACGTTGGAGGAATTTTGTAGGGTTGAAGCCATATACTGAAATCTAAAAATAATGTACAATAGTAAAACAGACACGTAGAAATTTGATGTTTGTTTAATTGCACATTTTTTTAAGCATCGATATAACGTGAAACGAGGAAACTGGGAGGTTTGCAGTTGGTACCTTCATTTGTGCAGTGAAGCATAACTCTCATAAGGAAAACCAGACGCAATTATTAACGTAAAAAGTTTTTATAAACGGCTCTCTAGAAAAGAAGACTGTCTTAAATATTTGGAATCGTATGCTTAAGTCACATTTTCTTTATTGTTGCGTGCTATTCTAATTATGTCCCAGAATGTTAATTAGAATATTGTTATTATTATTTATACTTCGGGAAGAACTTAAACTTATTAGTTACCCCAAAGTATATGATCCAGTCTAAGCCTATGTTAAGTTTGTTAAATATAACTTTAAAATTTCGCGATGTCGCCATGTACATGTAATCGTTAAGTTACAGTCAGTATTTTATACATAATTTGAAGGTAGGCTGTGTTAATGACCTGTTTAAATATAAAATTTCAAATGCCTTTCCAGTATTTCATCAATTAGGTCTATCGCTGTCAAACTGAAAGCTACAGAAAAATTTCGCATTAATCACCTCAAAATGAATTGCATATTTTGCGTTAGTTTCGCCCCCATCTCAGAATTTCGGCTCTTTAGAATGTGTCAAGTTGGGGGTGGCTTGCATCGGCATAACACTTTACAGTGATTATCGAGAATCTGGTTCAAAAGTTGAAAGGGAGACACACAGATAACATTATAATCTTGTATCTTGCACATATAGTTGTCAAAGTGTCGTTAAATAAATCAAGAACCAAATAAATACAACATAACTACAACTACTGTTCACATGTTTACAAAACATGCTAAAATCCCACATGTCTCTGTGGTTTGGTACTAAATTTAATAGGTCTAAATGTGGATTGGTAATAAATAGTGCATTTTCCATGCCAGAAGGCAAAAAATATTATCATATAGTTTCGAAATAGTACTATTAACCTCTAAATGGATAAAACTAAACAGCTTAAATAGCCTAATGCCAAAGCTAAAAGAGGAATGAGTTACACGCTCATACGTACGTATATTCGTGGTGTGATTGATGAAGGAATAAAACCATGTACTGTTTATATATTCAATATCATTGCGGTTAGCCTGTTAATAATTAGCACTATATTAACTCCTCGTCGGGAAAGCAGGCCATTATTTAGAGGGTGTCTATTTAGAGGGATACTTTCAGACACGAATGGATATTAAAGAGCTGTACTACCACCAATACTCTGTATCATAAATTTTGCTTCACGATGTAAAATTTGTGAAACGTCTTGATGTAGCAATGGATACTCATGCTTCATTGATATATCTTAATGTAAGCCACGATTATGTTCTTATATGTTCATAATCGTCATTTAATTTACAATAATTTTGCTAAACAACTACCTTTAAGTTTCTTTCAGGTAACATAAAAAATAAACAGAAACATTTCATATGAGACTCACTCTGAAAGGGAGACACACAGATAACATTATAATCTTGTATCTTGCACATATAGTTGTCAAAGTGTCGTTAAATAAATCAAGAACCAAATAAATACAACATAACTACAACTACTGTTCACATGTTTACAAAACATGCTAAAATCCCACATGTCTCTGTGGTTTGGTACTAAATTTAATAGGTCTAAATGTGGATTGGTAATAAATAGTGCATTTTCCATGCCAGAAGGCAAAAAATATTATCATATAGTTTCGAAATAGTACTATTAACCTCTAAATGGATAAAACTAAACAGCTTAAATAGCCTAATGCCAAAGCTAAAAGAGGAATGAGTTACACGCTCATACGTACGTATATTCGTGGTGTGATTGATGAAGGAATAAAACCATGTACTGTTTATATATTCAATATCATTGCGGTTAGCCTGTTAATAATTAGCACTATATTAACTCCTCGTCGGGTGAAATAAATCTCTGTACATTAGCCCTATAAAATGACAATAAATCACTGCAGAGTATAAGTCTATTTTTGAATGCCTGGAAAGAAACATAATTCTCTAAAGGTTTGATAAGTGATCGAACTAATATTTAGCACAGTTTACCTAGAATTCATCATTAAGCACACAGGCCTATAGGGCGAAATTATGTATTATTAATATCTTCTTTAAGTAAGAGTTGAATTAAGTTGTTACCAGTACTTATTTGAACTTGATACAGAGGTAAATACATCATAATAAGAAATGTCTAATTGGGTTTGATAAAGGAAAGTATTTTTTTTAAAACAGTCAACAGAAACTGCATCTCATTAAACACAATTAAACACACTTAACTAGATTCACGTAAGTTAGCCTATTAACCACGCTGTTTGCACATATTTCTGTACCTTAAACACGAAACAGGCTCAGTATCTACGTTTCCTAACTAGCCTAAATTATGAACAAAAGAAATATATTTTATGTAACACTCTCCTTAATATTTCAGCGGAAAATTATAATCATAAAAGTTATTTTTAATACGACCCTATGGCACGGAAAATAAATTTTAAATGATTTAGGCTTACTGATATTACAACATTAAGTTTCTTACTATTTTTTCTTAAAAAGAAAATTCCCTCATGTTTGTATGAACATTCCACTGTATCTCTCGTGTGTGTGCAAAATTATTTTTAAAGAAACGCGCTCATTACGTATTCAGCCTTACAAATCATAAAATGATCAACCCTCTGGAGACGTTAAAATAAATAAAACGTTCCCAGAGCAGATTCATGGGTTTATTTGTAGGCTATATTCAGGGCTTAAATCCTTGCGGCGAATCTATCACGATGTATTTTGTTATGCTTTTTAATAAATATGCTACAATCTACCTGTGTTTTCCTGAAATATTTTAACCTTCAATCTATTAAAACATGACTTCACAGTACACATGCTGACTCATTAAACACAAAAGCATACTGTAATGCTCTGTTATCGGTATTATTGCCCGTATGCCGTAAAATTGTCCATTAAGTAACGGTGTTGCATGGTGACAGACCTATCAAGTTATTAAATGTAAATGATAAACCTTAAAAGAGTTAATGTTGATATTAAGCGAACGTATATTACAAGCGTAACACACTTAGCCACAAAGAAACAGGTATTAAATTGGCACTGATGTTTAAAATGCTTAGAGTCTAGATAAGCATCCATGGTCTGGTCTTGTCCGTCAAAATAAAAATGTAAATTCCCTACCGAATTGGCAGAATTGTTTACTTTAACTAATATATTAATAACAACAATCTTACCAATAACAATATTTACATGAATGATAAGTAGCAAACTGTAAAACAGATGAGATTTGAGGTTTCGATAGTTCAGCGTGATTTGTGACGCCGTGTGATAAATACCAAAGTTGCGAAGAAACCCATCGCCTCTATCATCAGAGTAGACTTCACGACGTCACAACTCAAAAGACTACAACGGACAGTGTCGTATTGTGTGACATAATGAACCAAATTAAAACATATGAAACAGTCCACAGCCTAGAGAAACAAACTTGACCTTGGCCTATGTTTATAAACGTCAGAGCCCTACAAACATCATATCAAAACAAAACCAACCAAACCGAATACTTCCTGGGCTTCTATCCTGTAGCCTACCCAAAACCAACAAATTATGATAATAAGATGAAATGAGAATCATCCGGTCCTATTCGATTAGGAAGAAATTACTTAGCACTTAGATTGTAAATAAGTCTGTTCTGAAGTGAAACATTAAGATAATTTATTAACAATTTTGAGGAAACCAATTCACGATGATTATTTATATTTTTGTAAAGTATTCACTTGACATTAAATATTTAATTTAAGTAGCATTAATGTATTAATTAGACGATATACTTACAAGGTGATATAATACATGAAAAATATACTTGGAACGAGGGTTGAGAAACACCGATTTAATTCAGATTTAAATTGTTTTTTTTAAATTATTACATCTAAAAACCTGTACTACACACTGTGTCTACAACGTTCAATAATAGCCCGACACTTTTACAAAAGCAGTAAAACAGCTTGTAATAATTTCAATAAGCGTTATGCGGCAACCGATTTATAATCACAGTCCATACAAATTAGAATTTACATACAGGTTAACTTTAAAACGGTTCACTGTCAAATGAATATCGCAAATAAACAAAGGTTTAAGTGTTTACGTAGACTACAGGCGTGTATGTATTCATAAATCACTTTCAAATTAACACAAACATTTTATTTTTCCAACACACAAACAATTACCAAGCCATTGACAGAATCAAACTCACAATCACAGTCCCGTTGTGACCCTCATAAGAAACAGTGGCTCTAAAATACTTACCGCGAGTGACGTTTTCCGATTCGAGTGACGGCTGAGCCGATCCTACCGCTGTGGTTGCCGGCGGGGAAGAACTTGCCGGTTCCATCCGATGGTGGCTCTGCGGTGCTCTCAGTAATAACACACGGCTTATTACAATCCTATTCTACAGTTTAGTTATTCCAATAAACAGCCTACAAATTTTGTTCCCACATTTAAGTACGCAGTTCGTGTACGTTTAGCATAGCAACCGCGGGACGTCTGTGACGTGGCTTAATCTCGCTACGATGGCTCTTGGCGTAGCTGTTGATGCACCTACCAGCATCACCATCTCGACAAGCGCAGTCGTACACATGCGATCAAAACTGAAGGAGCGCACAGGGTGAAGAGTGACGCGCGGGAGGGGAGGAAGGCATTACAGTAATTGCTCTTACTCATGACACCAGTGGTGGGAGACAAGCAGAGTATATAGTATACGTGACCCGTCAATCATTACCGCCCCTCCGCCTACAAAAAAACTTTACTGATTGTGACAGAAGTTTGTCACTGCTCAAGACACGTGGAAGACGATCATAATTTAATCGGATGATCAGACGAAAAGAATTATAAGTATTCGGAAGCGGCTTGCTTCGTCTTTGTTATGTTTGAGGCGTGATTTCCCACCCACCCCCTGCTCTCATTTTAACCATACGGCCCACGAGTCGAAGAGCTCTGTCGGCAAAGAGGAGATCCACCCTACGATCCTCCTATCACAAATAATATCATCGTGATATTCACCATTGATTGGTTGACGCTGCTGGCAAGTGCCTACATGCCTTAATCCTATTGGTCGTCGGCTGCTGTCGGCTGAAGCGTGATGTCGTGATCTCATTGGCTCACCGAAAAAGCAGTGTGTATCAGGAGGCGGGAATTGTAAGGGATGTAAGGGGTTGCGGGGTCATGAAGGGAAGCAGTGGTCGCTGCATTTTAGCAAGGCAGGGGGTGTGTGGAGGATAAGAAGCTTAATTCTCATTCAAAAAGCTTCTAGCCTCCCGAACAGCAAAGTAAATGTGACTTCGATCCGAGTTGGAGTAGAGAACCAGCTCAAGACGGAGATGAAAATAAAGCAAGGACATCACGAGATGGTGGAGGGAGACTGTGACTCTAGCTTAGCCCGGGTGAATCTACTGTCTTTCTCTCTGTCTGACCATCCGACGCTGCTGGAGTTCTCTTCCCGTCAAGAAATATAAGCATCGTTCATTCTCTTCTGCTCCCTTCTTCTGTATTTCTTTCGTGTACCTCGCTCCATCTTTTTATTTCTCTCTTATTTTCCCTCATTCTTCAACTAAATTTCCTCTGCTTATTCAGACTTAGTTATTTATTTATTTATTTCACTATTTATCTTTCTTTCTTTACGAATTGTAAGGTTTTGAAATGAACCTGTCGCATCCGATATTCGTCTCGAAATGGCCTCACTGAAAGCGATCACGAAAAATATGTTTAGGCAACAGCCCGTAGGCCGAGGTTCGAATTCCCGAACATATTTCTTCCAACAGTTTCTGCGTTTTCCAATTATGTTTCAATGTAGGTTAGCAACAAGGAAGTCACACGGTTTAAGGGGCAGAAATGCTGCTTTAAAGAGTAGGCTTACGACGGGCATAGGGCTCTTTCCCGTATTTCAGTGGGTTCCAGCTACACCTGTCTTAATGTTATCCCACATCACATTTTCTACCTAAGTTTTGTCAGAAAACAGCGGGTTGCATTTCGTGTCGTCCCAGATACATCGTACGAAGTTCGAACTTCTAAATTTGCTAGTGGTATTAAGCATACAAATCATGATACTAGTTTTATGATTTACCACTTTCTTAGTTTCCTTTAAGAAAAATATTTTTCTGAACTTATTTAAAAAAAAATTAATTTGAACAAAATACCACGTTTCACAACCATGTAAAGTAATATATAAATTTACTGTTTTACGTAAACACAGGCCCGTAACTTCTTGTAAGTTGTAGGATCATAATTCTGCGTTTATCAAACAGAAAATACAGCCGCTTTTAGACAAAACTAAAGGTTAGAAAAATTTTAATTAATTTGAGAAAGTTATGAAGGAATATCATCAAGTTTTGTAATTTAAAATAAACATTTATTTTCAGACATCAGTAACACTGATGTTTCTGCAGTACGTTTACTTTTAATCGGTTAACTTGATCTTGTTTAATATAAATTCTCTTGCGTCTTTGCGATTGGATGTAGACTTTCAAAGGAGAGAAGGTACAATAGATCTAAATTAAGAAGAACTAAGTCACGTAGGTATTAGGTCTATAAAAGTCTAGAGAAAAAATAAACTTTGCATGTCCCACCTGTTCCAGTAAATTTACATTTTGCCGACACAAAATATTCATGCGATTTGTATGATTCTCAGAATAGAAAATGATTATTTCCTTAAACAGCATTAACCATCTAATCTTTGTAACAGTAAAGAGATACATCTTATTCGAGGTAAGAGCCGACTTCTTAAACATTATTTTGACGAAAAGCTTCAGAACGTTGAACATAGACTAGTGCGTAACTTAAGGTTTAAATTTGTTCATTGTATTGTGAGACGCGAAGTGACCAGTGCAGTGGAGTTGACTTTAAACCCATTAATCAATCATCAACCAATCCTTGGAAATACCGGATGGAAACTGAACCCAGCCCCCACGCCATACTGCTCGTAGAGCCAGCTGTCTGACAGTGGTCATTTTAATAATGTAATAATATTTGTAGCTTCTTTGTGTGGCCTTTTGCTCAGTTGGACGTTCGGGCGTGGCCAACATATCACCCAGGAACGTGACAATGACGCTCTACGTCCCACGGTCCGATCATGTCCGGATACAACCGTCAGATCCACGTCACACAGTGTGATGGATGGAACACCACAGCCTCTGTTGGGTTTCATCGGATGCGATCGAAGCAGTCTGTCACAGGACACGGGAGTCCTATTTTACTTCAAACCTTGTACAGAATTTTAAAGAAAACAGAACAACCCTACAACGTACACAATAACTAAGGAAATTAACCCTTTAAAACCCAATGGTAACTATATGTACCACCTGCATAACAAATAATTATCCTACATTTTGCCCACAGAGTGTAGTTATGGTTGTATGGCTGGAGCATTAAGCTAACAACACGTCTTAATCTAGTGCCTAAATAAAAACTACGTGGAGACACACCTCCACTTCTCCATACATCTACATGGCATTATGCGTAGTTAAAAAGAAGAGACAGGTTTTCCTGCCTTCATACAGTGTACACCAAAGTTTCATTTTAATTTCTATGCAGGCATATTTATGTCACAGCTGTACTAAATGACAGCTTTAAAATCATAACACTATTAAACTAAGAACTGTCGTCAATACGAAATACGAGAGTACATGGAACAAACATTGAAAATTAATTATCGAGCATGTAGGCGTTGCAACTGACCGAGATACTGAGGAAATCTTTAAGGGCCCTTTCCCCGTCTCCCCACACGACGTTAAACTGTCTGATAAAACTGGAACTCCTTTGTGACCCGTCTGCCGATTGAGAAATCTGAGCTGCCGTGGTATAAACGGGCACCAGATGTGAGCATGCACTGACGTCACATGAACCGCGGTCTAATCTGAAGAACCTACTTCCCTCCCTACACCCTTCATTTTCCGCGCATTACGCCCTATAATTACAAGCTCAGATGTACCAATACGTTGTAAGATGGCGTTACTTCGTGTGGACAGCACCAGCGAAGTTATCAACGTCGTAGGTTACAGTACAAAACTGCGCTAATAAACACGTAACCCGAGGCAACGTTTTAAAAAAAAAAGCAACTCAGCATGGTAAAGGTCAGATTTTGGTGAGATTTCACATTCTCACAGCGACGAGTTTGATTATAACTTTCTTTTTGGGATTTTGCTCCGTGTAGGCTCGAAAATGATGGAGAAAGACAGCACCTCTGAAACGTCGGTTTCTAGATCCACGGAGAAACACTTATGCAGACATTACATCTCCGATATTAGATGTTGTTTTGCAGTTTCTTAATTCAATTAAAGGGCGATTTCTCATCACTGTGACTAAGAATTTTGAAGGGTCGGCTTGATAGTCTATGGAAAGACATGCATAATGCCCTAGCATTTGACTTGAGTATCTGAGAAAAACCTCGAAACACCTCTGTAAGGATACACTAAAAGTTGGTGGGTATATAACCCCACACGTTTCGAACACGAAGAAAGAATTGTGATCAACGAGGACGCGTGGTGTCGAAAGGCCTAATTGAGATAATTAAGATCTGAGATTCTCACAGCGGCGAGTACAAAGATGACTGTCTTCTGAGTTATAACGCCATGTAGTCCCGCAGAAGTTTACTGACGTTTCAAACGTGCTTGCTACCCCCATCATCAGGGCTTAAATCTCTGAAACGTTGGTACAACCCAGAAGACAGTTACCTTTAGGCCTAATTGATTGACGGGATTGGATTATGACTTCCTTACGGTCTTGCTTTTAGATGTTTTGTGTTCTAGATCAGTCTGTAATGTAGCTGCAGCATCCGGAGTGACAGGGCAGTCTATATTGTAGTTTATTTGATAGACCCCCTAGAGACATCGCAGACCACCATTGAGGAGTACGAACGGACGAGAGCGGCAGTGTGTCAGAACAACCTGCAGACCCCCTGTCGGGAAAGGAAGAAACAACTCAGTTTCTTGTCAAGAGTAATCAGCAACTGCTGTGTGTGTGTTGGTATCATAGACCAGACAGACAGTCTCACTGCTGGACTATGAAACAGGGGCGGAACATTCACGGTCGCCGTCTTCGCCCGGATGACACATCGAAAAAAGAACAACATAAAATCTCTTCTGTGTTCCTTTCGTAATTAATTAATTAGTTAAGTAATTAAGTACCCGATTCATTTCCATTAACGGGGCATAAGCCTCACGATGCGCAGAAAAACACGAGACGTTAAAGAAGAAGAACCCATATATTTTCAATTTCTTGGCGTTTACTCTGAAGTGCTGAGGAAATTGAAAAAAATATATTTTATTTAGTGTAGGGCCTACCAGTTTAGGTTTATTTCTGTTTAACAATGAGTTATCTATTGCACCTACATAGACGAGTCGAAATAAGTCAGTGACGTAACTGGCAAGCGACTAGGCACAGTTCTTGACAGGTGTAGCAATGTTTTTCGAGTCTACTTCTATATTACCAGAGGCTTACCCTGTCTTAGACCTGGATATATCCAAAGAGAATTGGTTGCTCTTTCCCAGGGATAAAGATTCACCTTTCAACTATATTTAGTCTCGAGACTTAAAATGCATGGAGCTACGCCTCCATAACTCCTTTATACTAACCACTT